AGCAAAAATGCGACAGTGCCAGCCATAGCAGCACGTAGTAGCCCTCAGTCCTTGTCTGCCCCAAGCTCATAAGCCATGGCCGCCCTGGCCCGTGAGCTCGCAGGCCATGGCCCCCTGTCGTTGCAGCGCGCAAGAAACCTTGAGACTCTCAGGGTGATGACGCATGCGAGCAGCACGCCATTGAGGAGTTGCGCGTGATGTGAGAGGGGAGAAGTGCTCGCCGGTGCTATGGCAGAGGAGGTGAGGCAGAGCGCTGTGGAAGAAGGAAGAGGATAAGGTTGAGATGCGGGGCGGGGGCGTGTGGTGGAGAGGGCGCAGACGCATGTGCACGGTTGGATCACGTTTTCATCCTATGCGCATCGTGCGTCCGGCCGAATCACTCGGCCGGCATGCCGTACGCAAGCGTTTCCCTTGTTTCAGAGGTGATATTATGTACTCTGGTGGGTACAGGGTGGGACAACGAAGTTCAATGAACACAGAGGGTTACAGAGCCCTCTGGCTTAAGAGGCGCCACTCTGGATCCTTCATGACTCTTCCTCGCCGTCGTCTGGCGATTCCTCTGATGAGTCTCCGATGATTCCTCCCTAGTGGGTGTTTGAGCATTCTCCTCTAGATCTTTCCTTCATCAGCTAAGTCCCTCGCTAATATCTCCTTTCTTGTTTCCCTCCATTTCATAGGCCAACTCCAATGCACGACCCCAAATGCACGTCTGTTTTGTCAAAATTCTGCCTGTTTGGTCGGGGAATGGTGTGGTGTCCGGATTCCCATCCGTTTGGGGTCATGCGTTGGAGTTGGCATGATATTATTGCCTCCAGAAATCCTGTCTCCTCTGTTGGTCAGCCTCCATCTCTCGCAACTCCCCTTTTCCAAATCTTCATCGTCATCTTTCCCCGGACCTCTTCTTCTCTCCATCCCCTTCCTGCTACCTCCTCCTACTTCCCTTTCCATTCCGTTTCGCAAATCGTCCATGTTTCCCAACGCTGTTTTAGTCTGCATTTGGCTGCTGATTTTCTTTCGGTCCCATCCCAGATAGGCAATTGATATCCTGAAGAACCCAAGGATCTTCCAAGGTCATTCCGGCAGGTCGTTCATGTCGGTATGTATGTTGTGCCGGAATCGGAGCATCCTGTGCCGGTGCATGGTGTCCAAAACTGGGGTTCGTGGCCTTTATGGTGACTAGAGGGATTGAGTGGCCGCTCGGACTAGTCGGTCCATCTTCCATGACCCAAAATCTAATTTTTGTTTACCTTGACACTCAAGTTGGGGCTAGTTGGTCCATCTTCCATGACACAAAATCTGGAGCTGGTTTATTATTCCTAGGAAGTAATGGGTTGCCGATGGATCAAAACCGACCTCGGTCCTCTCAGGGCATTGTCTTGGAAGAAGAATTTGTGGCTTTGTCATCCCTGGTAGTGATGGACATCGTAGGCATATAGGAAATATGTCTTTCAATCCTGGCACTAAATATTTTATTCCAGCTCGTCAGCAAAGAGAGGCTACTCTAATATTGATGTATGCTACCTCTTGAGCATGCGTTGGTTTTCGCTAAAAGAGGAAAGGGTGATGCAGCAAAGTAGCGTAAGAATTTCCGTCAGTTTTGAGAACCAAGTTATCAATTCAGTAGGAGACAACGCACAAGTCACCTAGTACCTGCACAAACAATCAAGAACCTTGCAACCAACGCAATAAAGGGGTTGTCAATCCCTTCACGGTCACTCGCAAAAGTGAGATCTGATAAAGATAGTAAAGTAAATATTTTTGGTATTTTTGTTGTATAGATTGGAAAGTAAAGATTGCAAAGTAGTAAACGAGATGCGAAGTAAAATAAAGAGATGCAATATAATAAGAAAGAGATCCGGGGGCCATAGGTCTCACTAGTGGCTTCTCTCAAGATAGCATGTATTACGGTGGGTGAACAAATTACTGCCGAGCAATTGATAGAAAAGCGCATAGTTATGAAGATATCTAAGGCAATGATCATGAATATAGCATCACGTCCATGTCAAGTAGACCAAAACGATTCTGCATCTACTACTATTACTGCACACATCGACCGCTATCCAGCATGCATCTAGAGTATTAAGTTCATAAGAACAAAGTAACACATTAAGCAAGATGACATGATGTAGAGGGATAAACTCAAGCAATATGATATAAACCCCATCTTTTTATCCTCTATGGCAACAATACAATACGTTCCTTGTTGCCCTTACTGTCACTGGGAAAGAACACCGCAAGATTGAACCCAAAGCTAAGCACTTCTCCCATTGCAAGAAAGATCAATCTAGTAGGCCAAACTAAACCGATAATTCAAAGAGACTTGCAAATATATCAAATCATGCATATAAGAATTCAGAGAAGAACCAAATAATATTCATAGATAAACGTGTTCATAAATCCACAATTCATCGGATCTCGGCAAACACACCGCAAAAGAGTATTACATCGAATAGATCTCCAAGAACATCGAGGAGAACTTTGTATTGAAAATCAAAGAAAGAGAAGAAGCCATCTAGCTAATAACTATGGACCTGAAGGTCTGTGGTAAACTACTCACGCTTCATCGGAGAGGCTATGGTGTTGATGTAGAAGCCCTCCATGATCGATTCCCCCTCCAGCAGATTGCTGGAAAAGGCCCCAAGATGGTATCTCATGGGTACAGAAGGTTGCGGTGATGGAAAAGTGGTTTTGTGGCTCTCCCTGATGTTTCTAGGGTATAGTGTATATATAGGTGAAAGAAGTACGTCGGTGGAGCTCCGTGGGGCCCACGAGGGTGGGGGCACGCCTACCCCCTGGGTGCGCCCTCCTGCCTCGTGGCCGCCTCACGGAGTTCCAGGATTCAACTCCAAGTCTTCTGGTTTGCTTTCGGTCCAAGAAAGATCATCACGAAGGTTTCATTCCGTTTGGATTCCGTTTGGTATTCCTTTTCTGCAAAACTCTAAAATAGGCAAAAAAACAAAAACTGGCACTGGGCCTCCGGTTAATAGGTTAGTCCCAAAAATAATATAAAAGAGGATATTAAAGCCCATTAAACATCCAAAACAGATAATATAATAGCATGAAACAATCAAAAATTATAGATGCGTTGGAGACGTATCAAGAATCCCCAAGCTTAATTCCTGCTCGTCCTCGAGTAGGTAAATGTTAAAAACAGAATTTTTGATGTGGAATTCTACTTTACATAATTATCAATGTAATTCTCTTTATTATGGCATGAATATTCAGATCCATAAGATTCAAAACAAAAGTTTAATATTGACATAAAAACCATAATACTTCAAGCATAGTAACAAGGCAATTATGTCTTCTCAAAATAACATGGCCAAAGAAAGCTTATCCCTACAAGATCATATAGTCTGGCTATGCTCCATCTTCATCACACAAAATACTCAAATCATGCACAACCCCGGTGACAAGCCAAGCAATTGTTTCATACTTTAGTATTCTCAAACTTTTTCAACTTTCACGCAATACATGAGCGTGAGCCATGGACATAGCACTATAGGTGCAATAGAGCGGTGGTTGTGGAGAAGACAAAAAGGAGGAAGATGGTCTCACATCAACTAGGCGTATCAATAGGCTATGGAGATGCCCATCAATAGATATCGATGTGAGTGCGTAGGGTTCCTTCCGGACTCCGTTTTTCTACAGTTTTCTTGAATTCCAAGATAAAAAATCTTTATATACTCCCCGATCCTATTGACCACCGTATCACTGAGAAATCTTCTATTTTCTTTTCCTTGCTGTTTTCTGCCAGATCTCATCTACAATGGCCGCTTCAAACTCCTCCAAGGACAAGTTCTTCAAGAACGTCATCAACCCATATTTGCGGGGACTGGTGCAACACCCTCAAGTCATCCAAATGCATGAGATGGTGTTGCACATCCACGATGTGCAAGGCCCCAAAGGGGATGGGCACTGTGGAGGCCGGGCTTGAAGCTATGGAGCAGGAAGTCTTCCGGTGCAAGGGGATGGTGGAACGTGGACTCAATGCCAATCACCTCATGATCATGGACCTTACCCGTGATCTCAAGGTGGATGGCAAGTCCATGAAGGACGTCGTCTTCACCCTCAACGAGCAAATAAACTTCCTCCAAAGCCAGATCTACGATCTCCAAAACCAAGTCGTTGAATATGAGGCGAGGTTTAAAGGTATGAGTTTGGCTGCCGGCTGCAGGACCCGTGAGACTCATTCCTCCTCTTATGATGGTGGACCTCTGCCATGGAAACCCGAGGACAAGATCTCTACTTCATCACCACCACCTTCTTCTTCATCACCAAAAGAAAATTGAGTATCGGGTATGGGCACTCCCCTTGGCTTCCGCCAAGCTTGGGGGAGGTGCCCCGGTATCGTATCACCCCCACTATCTTTTGCCTTTACTTATCTTAGTTCAATCCATAGTTATCTTTTGCTTTAGATGAATAAAAGTTTAGTTCGATCTTTTCTTTTCAAGAATTTGCTTACTGATCTATCCTTGTAATCATGTGCGAGATATATAATAAATTTTGTTTGAGTTTTTGCTTTCTTTACTTTCATGTTGCAATAAAAAGAAAGGAAATAAATTAAAAAGATCATATGCTAATCCTATGGTTATGTTCAACGTAGATACATCATGACGACAAATAGTATTCTTGCAAAAGAAATAAGATGATGGTCTCTCTTTTAAGTAGTAGCAAAATCCGGAAACAAGAGAACTACACAAATTGCAGGCTACATAATCAAACAACTAACATAATGATTCAATAGAGAATCAGTTCCACAGAGAAATATAATTTGAAACTTGGAGACTTTGATAAAAACCCAAGACCACTATAAGAATATAGTTTGCATGAAAACAACAGGAATAAACATGCACATGAGCTTGTTTAAGAGCCCCGCACAACATTAATGAGACTCGATAAATCACCGTCATGATTCATCTTATTCATCCTTTGCCTGGGAGAAACATTTGATGTTCCCTTGAATAAGGTAGGCATGAGTTTGTAGACAATCCTACATCTTATGAAGCTTGTAAGCTCGCCTTAGGAGTAATAGAAACAAGGCTTGCAGTGTAATAAAGTAGCTCAAACACACATAAATTTTTCCATGCATGGCCCAAGGTGTCTTCAATGGGCCCAAGGAACCTTAGGTCATCCATATCAAATATATCCTCTTCTTTTACACCATGAGCTTTCATGTAATAATGGATTAGACAATGACCTCTTCGTAAGAGAAATCGACCAGCGATGCTAAGTGAGGCCACTGGACAACAGTGATCTGAGACATTGATTACATAATGACAATCCCACTCTGGATTCACAATATCTCTTGCCACCCAGACCAATACTCGTTGCACACACTTGCTAAAGAAAGTAGCACATAATTCCCCATCAAGCTCATGGAGAACAATATCGTCATCATCTTCTACTGTAGGGTACACGTTGTTAAGCAATGGAGTGATACCAAATGTTTCATCTTGAAGGCAGAAACGAAGCAGCGCCTGCGGGGGACATTGTTGAATTTTCTTATCTATGAAATAGAATAGGGAACCCTTGCAGTGTATGGCAGTTTGCGGACAGATAATAGGGTATGGTGGATCCAGCAAGGTTTCCCTCCAGTTGCCCTCGTCACCATTAATAGTGAAGACCTCCATTCCCATTGCAACCGAACTGCAATCACAGGAACGGTAGAAAGACCGTGCAACCTTATATGTTCCAGTGGAAACATCAAGGCCGAAACCAATCGGAAGGCAGGTGGAGTGCTGCAACATATTGCGGTGGCACCTGGTAGCGCAACAGCATCTCTAGTGGCTGGGTTGAAAACATCACAGTGTGCCATTTGGGACACCAGCCCAAACTCGCCAATGGGGAACTGCCTCCCATAAAGGAGTGTTGCACTACTACTGCTCCTACTCATGTCATCTTGTTGTAAAGACCACAGGTAGAAACGGATGTTGGTGGAAAAAAGACCCGAAGGATTTGGTTCCAGATAAATGTGGGGGGTGACAAGGAAGGAAGACGGGTTGTGTTGTTGTTTCTGTTTGGAGCAGTGGAGGTGCGCACGTACAAAAACAGGGAAGAGATGATAGCGTACCAGGCCTTGCTAACCAACTTAAACCTCGCCAGGGACTCCACGGGCAGCCGGATCAAGATGTCCCACACCATCACGTCCAACAACTGCTCCCTTATAGGCTGCAAACTCATTGTCCTTTGTTTCCTCTGTGGCACACTCCCCGTCCTTTGCATCCTCTGTGACTTCCTCTTCTTTATTTTCCTTGCATCATTAGCCGATTTCTTTGGGAATGTACCATTAACCCCCATCAAGTCGATGCAGCAAGACACAAAACCAAAATATAACTAGGATCTTAATAATCTCTAAATGCAATGCACGGCACTGACTACGCTGACACGAACACACATATATATTGATAGATATACCGATAAAATATGTGTATATATATAGATATGTGCGTCTCCCTGGCCTGTTGGTATCTTTCCCGGACAAGGTGTCGGTCTTAGTATAGGAGACGCACCAAATTATTCTTTTTTTCCTTTTTTGTCGGCAACAAAGGAATCAGTGAGATCTGAAACCTCAATAGATCTGGTCAAAAGCTTTTGTTTCTCTCGGAGAAAAATAGAGTGAAAATAGAGAAGAAATTTTAATGTGTGGCGGAAATTACCGGAAACATCCTTCTGTTCCCGTTGGTGTCGTGGCCGTCCAGCGGACTGGCCATGGCTGCAAGCTCGATTGGAAAGGGTTTGCGCGTGGAGGCGCTGTTGGCGATAGCGGCGACGGTTCGGAAGCCTCGGGATTTCGGGGAAAAAAATTGAGCGAAGGAAATTGATCGGCTTCTTACTGGACCGTTATGTTAACCTATCTCGCTGGCCCAGCCCACGCACGTATCTTACTGGACCGTTATGTTAACCTATACGCAGTCCGGATTCCGACCACGGTAACTTGCCCAGACCCAACTAGCTGCTCTCAACCCCTCAAAAAAAAAAAAAAACTAGCTGCTCTTAAAGATTTCCTGAACGGCGCTTATTCGATTCCTGCAAACGCAAAGGGGCAAAATCACTGATTAAGAAGTACTCGTTGCAAAGAACACTCCACCTTTTCAGGTCACGACAAGTGGCGCATATGCAGCGCGCCACTTGTCGCAACTAGAAGTTTTCCCTTTTTTCGTAGATCCGTTTATTCAAAACGTTTTATCTCTTAAACCATGCGTCCAAATCTCATGCCTTGCCTCTCATGGAAGCAAAACCGTGACTCTCGTGGAAGGAAAAAAACATAAACCGTGTTTTTTTTCCTTTCCGAAAGAGGCACGCCCGTGACTCTCGCGAAAGCACAACCGTGCCTCTGGCGAAAGCAAAACCGTGACTCTCGCGAAAGAAAAAAAACAGAAAAAGCATTTTTTTCCTTTCCGAGAGGCACGGCCGTGACTCTCGCGAAATCACAACCGTGCCTCTCGCGGAAGCAAAACCATGACTCGCGCGAAAGAAAAAACAGAAAACGCATTTTGTTATTTCCTTTTCGAGAGGCACGGCCGTGACTATCGTGAAAGCACAACCGTGTCTCTCATGGAAGAAAAACCGTGACTTTTCGCGAAAGAAAAAAATAATAGAAAACGTGTTTTTTTTCGAAAGGCACGGCCGTGACTTTTGCTAAAGCATAACCGTGCCTCTCGCGGAAGAAAAACCGTGACTTTTCGCGAAAGGAAAAAAGACAACACGTTTTTTCGTGTAAAAATTTTTTTTTTGGTCGAAAAGCTAAGGAAGAACTCTGCACCCGTGGAGTTTTTTCATATGGATGACCTAAAGGGGCGCACACTACTCCCCTTACTAGTTGCTCCCCGCAAAGGGGCGCACACTACTCCCTCCACGCTGGGCCGTGGAGTTTCAAACTTTGCACCCGTGCTTTCCCATGGAGATCAAACCACATTACACAAATGCTTGTATCCAACATTTGGATTTTCATATCCTCTAAGACATTACACAAATGGTTGTATCTAATATTTAGATTTTCGTATCCTCTAAGGCATTGAATGTGCATAGCCAAGACGGTGCACTAAATATCACGCAATCCCATTCTTCTCCTCACACCACCACTCCAACAACTTCTTTTGAGCACTTGGCCATGGAATTCGGCGGCACCTAGATGCTCGCTGTCTTCACCCTGGCATTTTCATCATGGCTTTCTATAAGTTCATATAGCAGATTGTATCGCACCTCCCATAGTTTGAATGTTCGGAGCAACTGGTTGGAGCATGAATTTAATACACATGATTTATTATTAGAGATAGATACTTTACACAAATGCTTGTATACAATATTCGGATTTCCATTTCCTCTAAGACGCTACACAAATGCTTGTATCCAATATTAGGATTTGCATATCCTCGAAGACATTACACAAATGGTTGTATCAAATATTTGGATTTTCATATCTCTAGTCTTTTTTGGTTCATAGGATAGGAATATCATAGGAATAGGAAAGTTGTAGAAAATGAGATGACATGTATCTCAAATCCTATGAGTAGAGATAGAAAAAGAGATGCCAATTGGTTCACATCATAGGAATTTTTTCATCGAGTTTACCCTAATATTTATTTTCCTTTGAAATGTGGAGGATACGAACCAATTCTATGTAGGAATAAGAATCCATTCCTATAAATAAGGGCTTTAAAGGAAAAAAATCGTATAAGAATCATATCCTATAGAATTCCTATGAAATTCCTACAAACAAAAGAAGGCCTAAGACATTACACAAATGCTTGTATCCAATATTTAGATTTCAGTAATCTCTAAGACATTGAATGCATAGCCAAGAGAGGTGCAATAAATAGCACTCACTCTCATTCTTCTCCTCACGCCACCACTCCAACAACTTCTTTTGAGCACTTAGCCATGGCGTTCAGCGGCACCCAGATGCTCGCCGCCTTCACCCTGGGCATTCTCCTCATGGCCTTCTGTAAGTTCACATAACAGATTCTATCGCATCGCAATCCCATGCAATTTAAAATCAAATTGATGAAAAATTTGCTAATTTAATTTTCTGGGGCACACTCTAATTGTATATCACGTGCAGGTGTGGAGGCTCAGGTATGCATGTCCCGTAGCAAGTCGTACAAAGGCCCTTGCAAGAAACTGCGCTGCACCAAGGCTTGTCACAAAGAGCACTTCAAGGGTGGGTTTTGCTCCAGTAAAAAGTCGATTGTTGACGATGAGCTCAACGAAGACGACGGCGAGAACGGCTTTCAAAAACCGCCTAGGAAAAAGTTGTGCATTTGTACATCCTCATGCAGCCAAGCCCCACCACCACCGTCGGAACCTCATGTGCCGGAGCCGCCCGAAGTGCCAGTGCCTGGGCCACCGCCGAGGGCCGGCCATATTTATTGAGTGAGTAAATGGTGGTATGTCTGAACCTGAGGTGCCGAGGAAAGAGAGGAAACAATCATTGCTTAATTTGTACACATGCATGATTGATTGCATGGGAGTGATAATAATAATAATCTGAAGTGATCAACAGTAAACACGAGTGTCTCTGCCATGGATTAATAATTCTGAGACGAGGAAGCAAACACTTGGTTGCCCGTGCTCGTCCACCCCGCCCAACAGAAGGTAGTGGGTTGTCTGTTGGTGGTATCTATGCGCACGCGACACACTTATCCGTGTTAGACTGTATATACGTAGTCTTATATAGGCCTTGTATTGTATCTCTTGGTATATCAATATAATGAAATAGCCACTCCTTGTTTTAGGGTGTCGAGCCAGTTTCCCAAACCCTATGTTTTACATGGTATCAGATTAGGTTACGATGTCTTCCGCTGCACCACCTCCCACCGCCGCCGCGCCGATCTCGACCGCCGCCACCGCGCCGGCCCTCGCCCCGGTGTCGCCTTTCATGGCCTCCCGCCCCCTCGCGACGACATACGGTGTCGTGCCGCCGCCGCCCACTTCCCCGCAGGCTTCGGGGTCTCCAGACGCTCCAATCGTCCCGACCGAGCCCGCGGCGCTGCCAGCCCCTGGCGGCCCTCCTCCGCCGAGTCCGCACCCGTGGTGCGGTGCTCCCGCGCCATTCTATGGTGCGCCCCCGCCGCCGTCATCCTTCTGGCCGGGGTCGGCCTATGCTGCGCCGTCGCCGCAACCCTACACAGTCGTGCCGCATCCGCCGCCACCGCACCACTACTACCAGGCGCCGCCGCCGTCCTATGGGGGCGGGCCTCCTCGCCGTACGGTGCCCCTGCAGCGCCCAGCCAAGGTGCTTCGGCTGCTGCGGGTGCTGGCCCCTACGCCGCGTCGGGCACCTACGGTCCTCCTGCAGCGCCCGGGCACGATGCTTTGGCTGCCGCCTCTACCGGGTCCTACTCCTCGCCTGGCGCCTATGCGATGGTCCCTCGTCCAGAGATGGCCCTGTCCATGGATCCCTATGCCCCACTGGCGCAGGCGTACACTGCTCAAACCGCGGCGCCGCCGACGTTTTATTTCTCGCACCTGCTGCCGGTGAAGCTCGCGCCGGACAACTACCTGTCATGGCGTGCTCAGGTCTTGCCTCTACTCCGCAGCCGCTACTTGGAGGGCTACGTCGACGGATCCATCCCGTGTCCACCCTCTCACCATCCGGCATATCACACGTGGGTGGCGTAGGGTCAGGCTATTCTCTCCGCTATCCAGTCTTCGCTCACGCCGAGTGTTTCGTCGATGGTCATCTTCGCCGCTACGTCCAGGCAGGCGTGGGCGGCCCTCCACACTAGTTTCGCCTCTCAGTCTTAGGCGCGTGCGCACTCTATACGCACCGAGCTGGGTGAGACCAAGCTTGGCGATCTCAGCATCACGGAGTACTTCAACAAGATGACGAGCCTCGCCGACACCTTGGCCTCTGTTGGTCAGCCGCTTCAGGACGAGGACTTCACCACTTTTGTGCTTAACGGGCTTGATGATGATTATGACAATCGCATTGAGAACGTCCATGGTCGAGAGGATACGCTCCCGCGTCGTGAGCTCTATGCGCGCCTCCTTGGGCGTGAGCAGCGCATCAAGGCGCGCCGTGTTTCCCCCAGCTTCGCCTCCGCCAACACCGCGACACGCGGCAAACCTCAGAAGCCGGCCGCATCAGGTGGCAAACCACCGGCTTCCTCGTCGCAGGCCTCGCGGGGCAACGCGCCGACCATCACTGGAGGGAGTCGACCAGTTGCTTGCTGTTCTAGTTGCGGTGCTCCTCAGGCTTGTCAGCTTTGTGGCATCGATCGTCACCTCGCCTCTCGCTGCCACAGACGCTACAAGCAAGACTTCCTTGGCCTTGGTAACAATGCAAAAGGGAATGA